AAATCACTAATACACAATTACACATAAACAAACCAAATAAGTCAATAAACTATAAATATTTGTTATATCATTTCTCATCCCAAATTGCATATAGTTTTCAACTGCATTTAATATCCATCTGATGACCCAAAAATGGTAGCTTCATGAAAAAATTACATATTAGTTATCATTTCTTTAGTACAGGTGATTTATTGGCCACACTGTCAACTTCTTTGGTGGCTCATAGCCTACTTAGATTCAAATTGTTATGAGCAGCGATCATGTCCATCAACCTTATTGATCCCTCTTAAGTTGAACAATCACTGAGAAGTAATTCTTACGAGCTATTGTTTCTGGCTTTAAGCTTCAAAATGGCTTGAATCTACATGACTTTCTGAATAAAGCAGAAGCTTTGTGTGTTCTGCTAAAGTTGGTTATCAACTTTTCCTCCTGTTCGACACTGAGATAGCAGCAGTGTGGTTTCAAGCGTTTCTTCAACATCTGCTACCAGTAATCTCCACAGGAGCAAATTCCATCTTGAAAATGATGATACCGGATAGGGTCTCTGATCACAATAGTTCGATGCTCCATCTTTGCTGTGAGTTTTGCAAAGATATGACAGTCGCCGCATATCCTGATATTTTTCCTGATCCTGATGGTCTTACCCCTTGACAAGCTCATCAAACCGAAAATAATTGCCAGTTTTTCACTGTGGTATCGAATTGAGTCTTCTTTCTGCTCTCCTTCAAGATCGTGCAAAACAAAATTTGTGTCTGGCACATAACCCACTGCTACTAATTTGTGAATTAACTGGTTGAGCTCCCTATTGATTTCATCTATCTTGGGATGTGAGCTATCTCCAAAAATGAAAGCATGAATCTGCTTATTTACTTCAATCCAGCTGCACCCTGGTTCTTTCCTCACTCCCCTGTCTCTCATGGTCTTCCTAACTTCTGCTACGTCGTCCCATCTTTGCGAATTTGCATAAATGTTAGATAACAGTATGTATGTTCCTGCATCTTGTAAAGATATTCCTAAAGTATCCTCTATGATCAGATCAAGTAAAGATATTCCTCAGTAAAGATATATATCTGACTTGTATTTATAAATAATATAGCTGAATAATATCTATTGAATTCCCTCTATCAATCATGTTCCCTGTATTCCTCTTTTAGACTACAAAATGATTAATTACATGTTTATAGTTATGTTAACTCTGTAGCTTTTCCCAACTATTAATTAACAGTAAGTTGATTGAATGATGAATTATTGTTCTGGGTTCCAACTTACCACGTTTTAAACACAGTAGAAAATGCACCTTTAAATCCTAAAGGTTTAAACCCATAAAGAGAACACATAAACAAGATCCATTGCTATTCTACTCTTTCCAATTCATTTCCATAACTTTCCTCCACTTTCTAAGTAACCAAACAACAAAATTTAAAACCAAGCACAAACTGAAACATAAAACTATACCAAACCATAAGGGTCCATCAAACTGTACCAAACCAAACATAAGCAACTATGAAAGAAACTCAAAAAATTCTTCCTAAAAACTCTTCATTCGAATAAAAATTCATTCGCTTCCCAAAAAAATTAAAAAAAAAATAATCGAAAATGATTTGTTTTTGAAGAAACCTGTTTTTGCCGAACTTCGCTTCTGATCTCTCTCTGAGCGACTGAGCCTCTATTTCGTTACCGAAGTGACGAAGTGATGAATATTAATCGAAGAAGACTGATGAGGCGATGACTGATGAGAGACTGATGAGTGATGACGAAGTGACGATGCGGCCGCGATCTGAGACTGAGAGTCGAGAGATCAGAGATGAGATGGATTCGTGATGACTGTGACTCCGTGAGAGGGAGGCGTCACCGCGTCAGGCGTGAGAGGGAGGCGTGAGAGGCAGGCGTGAGAGGGAGGCGTGAGATACTGAGATGGATTCGAATAAAGGACTTTTAGTTTTAGGGATTCTTCAAAAGAATCAAAACAGAATAGAAGGGTTATACGGGTGCCCGCGGGTTCACCCATATGACCCGTAATTTATTGGCCCGGGTACGGGTCAAATAAAAATGGGTTTAGTTTATTGAACCCATACCCTATATTTTTTACCCGGGTACGGACCGACCCGCGGGTCCATACCCGTTTTGCCAGGTCTAGGTATACTTCGAGAAAGAGAGAGGGAGGAGATGAAGGGTGAGGGAAAGAGAGAGGGGAGAAAGGGGTATACTTCGAGAAAGAGAGAGGGAGGGTTGCATTTGGCCAAACCATATTTATTTTGAAAAAAATTTATAGGCAGTAATAAATTTAAGGGAGATTGACATTTTTCACCCAGGATTTGGCAAAATGACCTTTCTCATCCTTCAAGTTTCAAAATGATATTGTCCCACCCTTTATTAGGTTATGGTATGTTTTTTATTAATATTTTATTAAAAAGATGATAAATACCCTAAAATATTTGATTTTATTATTTTTTATTAACCAAAAGTCAAATATTAAAAAAAAAAAAATAGTTAGTCCCAACTAAAAATTAATTGACCTTAATATTTATTTATTTATAATGTCATCAATATCTCATCACTATTATTTAATAAGCTACTAAATTTATAATGTTTTTCATAATATAATATTTTTTTATTTTTACTAATTAACATAGAAAATTAATATTCTTAATTAATTAAATAAATAAATAAAATTATCTTTACACTTAAACTAATAAATGATCAAGTAAAGACTTTGACTTAACTAAATTTTAATTTATAATAAACTAATTAAAAAATAAACTATTTAAAAATATTTTCATCTTTTTAATCAAATAATAACAGAAAATAGGGTGAGAAAGTGACACGGGCAAAATCAATTAATATATAAGTCCACTCAAATAATTAAAAAAGAAAGATAATAACTACTCATCGAAAAAAGTTTCTTTTAATTTGTAGATTGTTTACATACTCGTAAGAGATCAATTTTGTTTGCAAGATGATATTTACTGGATAAGCATCAGAAAGGGGCTTCTGTTGATATGATTTTTACAGACTTCTTCCATTGAAGAATGAAGATAAACATAAACTAGTTCACATCAAATTACGATTGATCTGTGTCTCTTACTGTAAGAAGCAACCAGGCTCCAGTGTAAAATTTTGAGTCATCCTTTAATTCACCCTTTTAATGCAAAGAGTTGATGAATGAATACAATTTGTTTCTAATTTAGTGGTTTGTTATATATATCAAATTTTGTTATGCCTACAAAAACTACGGCCAACATTAGCCAATGTCAGCGAATATCAATTAGAGTTTAGGAAGACTTTACGTTGCCTAGAAGCTGTTACATCGCTTCATGACAGAAAGAATATAGTTGTCATCACTTTGACAGTTTCAGGTTTTGTCTATGAGTGATTGAGGCTGCACACATGTTCAAATTCTAGGTAATTTGAGGATATTTCATAAGTTATCAGTCAATAGGAGATAAGGAAAGACTTACACAGTACAGATTTGTGATCATTACCTTTAATTCCTCTAATATAAATAAAAGACTTCTGCTCTCATTTTCGAGATTCTGATACTAAACCCGTTCTCTAATTGTAATCTTTATTTTTAAAGCAAAGATAATATATGAGAAAAAGACTGACTTAATATTCTCTTTAAATAATCAGTTATTGTACCTCTATTCATTATTAGTTATATACGAACTTTTATAATTTCTAATATATAAAAGAAATAATAAACGTAAGATTTATTTTATACATCCCAACCATTTAAAAAATAGCAACTCTCTTTTATTATTCAATATTTATATCTAATTATAATCATTCTTATATAAGAATAATTTAATATTTTACAGGTAGGAGTTGTGAGTTGTAAAATCAGACATCAACAAATTTATTTATGATGATTGTTTTTCTGGTATTTTATAATATATTATAAACTTTTAAGGACATTGGACATCTGGAAAGATAGTTTATCTATATTTATGACTGTGGGTAATGAGTAATGACTAATAACTCTTGTCAGTTTAGGTGAATCCAGTCCCTTCATTCTCAGCCTGACTTATATCTACCATTCTTATATTATATAAATGTGGAGGTCCCTCCCCTCCATAATGGCTCTGCAACAAATCTTTCATCTGGTAGAACATGCGTATGTTAATGTCAAATATATTTGATGGGTTTTGTGAACCTTACGGAGAGAACTGAGAAGACCACACATTCAACTTTGGGAGAGCATCGAAGCCACCAGACTCAGAGTTGTCGTTTTCTACTTTTTAAAACCCTCATGTTTCTTGCCATAAATAATTTATCGATTAGATCAAAAGTAATTTCTTCTGATTTTTTATTTTTTTTATTTTGATTTTTGTTGTGCTCACACAACAGTTACATTACATCTATCTTGTTTTTTTTTTTTGAAATAAACATGAAATCACTAGATTAAATTTGCTGTTTAAAGTCTTAACAATTTAGATTAAATTTACTGTTTAAATAATGAAATGGTATTTTAAAAATTGAGGGCGAAAAGTGTCTTTAACCCATTCTTGGGGCGGAAAAAAGCTGTTAAACTCATAAAACTGTAATTAGTTCGGGGGCTGCTTCTTCGAAGGTCAATTAAAATCCATGAAACGTCACCCGTCGATCGTCATGATGATCCTAGACAAGACAAAGACAAATACAGAGTTGTTTAAATCAGTATGGTGACCCACGTAATAACTATTCGTACTTGTAACGAGCTTGTTTTTTTCTCTTGGAGTAAATGTCAGTTCCTATTACACGGCGCTGATGGTCAAAACATTTGTCTATAAAGTCTACAATTATTTGAGTTGGGTGGACCGGACCGGATATAAAGTGAATTTGTGCGGTACAACTGTAAATAAAAGAGTTAATAATACAGATAGTCATTATTAGAAAGAGAAAACACTTTATATTTAATTATTTATTGAAAATGACACGTGTGTCAAAGTTAAACAACACTAGGTCAGTAGACTGAGACTCTGACTGAGGAAGAATACTTATTTATATGGCTGTAAGCAAGCGGAAACGATTACCAGAGACGTCCATTAGAGAGAGAGAGAGAGAGAGAGAGAGAGAAACATGTACATGTGAAAGTTTCAAGACAAAGAAGTTCGGTGATAAGTTTTCGGAGAAATTTTCAGGTTTTTCTTCTGGTCTTTGTAATATATATTTTACTTGGTGTTATCTCATTAATTGTTTTTAGTTTCCCATTCAATTTTAGAGATTTTTAGGAAAGAATTTTTTTTATTTTATTATTATTTAATGGCATGATAATTCCCGTAATTTGTTTCCTTTACGAAGCAAGTTCCATAGCAGAAACCCAGGCAGACTCTTCTGTAAGATTTAACACTCAAAGTATAGTTATACAATATACCTAGAGAAAAAGTAGTTTTGAACTTAATATTTTCTATTTTTCATGTCTTTCCTCTAGCTTGAGTGAACCATTCTGAACATTTATGTACATGTACAGTTGTCTTAGAAAATAATGCAGGAATAATATGCATCGAATCATTCATCTTTTTATTTCGAACTTATGAGATGTTTATAATTTTTGATTAATTGCCAACTTGGTTTTAATTATCTGCTATCTAGCTGGCGTATGTTTCAAATTAACCACTCTGAGAAATCAGATTACGAAGATGAAAGATTTAATTTAGTTTTGAAAGTTGATTATGTATATTTATTGTAATCAGTAGGTGTCTGTTTACATCCAGGAGTAAGAAGTTGTCGAAGTTGAGCGTGAATCACTGAGGAATAAGGAAGCCCTGTCAAACAACATTTCAGGCTAAGATGAATGGGTCAGGAGGTTCCTCTGAAGATAAGCATCAAAACGAAGACGAGGTAATCATTGATATCAAAGACAATATTGAGCGTTGTATTTATAGGGTTCCTAAGAAACTTAGGAACATAAATAATGATGCTTACACTCCTCACATAGTTTCAATTGGTCCATATCACCATGGCAAAGAAAAATGGGATGACCTAGAAAGCAAAAAGGAATGGAAATGGGATGACATGCAAAAGCACAAGGAGAGATATCTGGAAAAGTTCAGAAAGAAGGAGAAAATCGAGAACTTCGTCAAAGAAGAGGAACAACGTATCCGCGCTTGTTATGGAGAAAATTTTCAGGGTTTCGATTTCATAGAGATGATTGTGCGTGATGCTGTCTTCATCATTGAACTCTTCTTGAGGAAGTACCGTGATGATAGAGGAGATTTTTTGTTAAGTAAACCGTGGCTAACAAATGCTATAAAACTGGACTTGCAATTACTTGAAAATCAGCTTCCATACTTCGTCCTGGAGGAGTTATACGTGTTAGCCTATGGCTGCTCCGCTAGACCTTCCTTCCTTACTCTTTCTTGCAAGTTTTTCGGTTATAAGGAGCCAGATGGAGGGGCCAAACAGGATATGGAAATTAAACATTTTGTCGACTTGAGAAGACATACTATGTTGGTCGGAGTCGATCAAAACATACCAAAGTCTCTAGGCGGAAAAATTGAAGATTTACCAAGTGCAGTGAAGCTGCATGAGTCCGGGGTGAAGTTTAAGTCGGTCAAAAGCAAAGATGCAGTGAAGCCGGGTGAGTCGAGGAGGAAGTGTAAGCCAGAAAAAGGTTTACTTAACATAGAATTTGAAAAGAGAGAAAGAGAAGACTCGTGTATTTGGTGGCTTAGAGGACAGGTGCTAAAGATTCCACGCCTTAAAATTGAAGATGGTACGGAAAAAAAAAAAAAAAAAAAAAATTACAGGTGGAAGACCTAATGGAAGTGGGTGCAAATATGAGAACGGGACTTGGAATCCGTTGTAGAAGAAGTGCCCAGTAAGTTAAATCATTCATTTTTCAGTTGAAATTATAATACATCTTTCCTATTACTATTAGTAATCGATAACTATTTACTCTTGGTTAGGAAGACAGATGATCTGTGAGAAGCGAAGAGACTGGAGTTTGTAGCTTTGGCATGATTTTGATAGTTGATGCTCTTTTCATGGTGAGAGATTCGATTTGGATTAGTTTCAGATAACTGGAGATTCGATTTGGATAACTGGAGATTATCCAAATCGATAACTGGAGATTCGATTTGGATTAGTTTCTCAATTTTTTTTAACACCCCTAACGAAAAGTATTAAGTTACTTACCATTTGCCATTGCAGATTTCTTGAATAAGGAAGTCCACGTAACAAATATTAGACTATGACTTTGGGTTTTGATGTCTATGCATGATAATTAGCCAACTATTTATAACTATATAAATTTGGATTTGGGTAATACTATATTTACAATCCAATATCACAATTTGTTTTTTTTTTTTTTTTTATAACAAACTCGACGTGACAGCTCACAAATGGGTTTTGTCTACCTAATTATGGGTTGTCACATTTAGATTGTTACAAAAAGTTTGTAAGATCGTGAGCTAATCTTTATTGTTCAGATTTAGGGATTAAAAAAAGACTATCTATATAGTAATTAATTGGTTGGGCTGTGTGATAGACAGTGTGAACAATAAAAATAATTAGCCTTGACATTTCTGACTAGAGAGGCTGGCTTTGATTAAGATTTAAGGTGTCTTACCTATCTCAATAAATAATAGTAATGGAGAGACTAAAGAAAGACTAGTAGTTGGTCAATGTAAATGCAGTCATAATTATTCAATATAATGAATCAACATGTTTCATTAATTACTTTAATTCAACCCGAAACCGTGTGAACATCATCTAATCTAATGATCCGCTGAGTGTGGCGTTAATAAAGAAATTAAACATGTCTTCAGCATAAATGAATAGTTTAACAAATGTGAATAGAATCATATATTAGAGAAAGACTCTTTCAAATTAATTAGTCAATAAGTAACAACTAGGAGTATTAAATTAGATTATTATCACTAAGAAATTAATAGTAGAAAACATTGTTTCAAAACCCATATTGGACCAAATATAAAGTAAATTAATGCGGTACAATTGTAAAGAGTTGATAACTATACATACCGACAGTCATTATTAGAAAAAAAGAAAAAAAAAACTTTATAGATTGACATCTGTCAAAATTAAATAGCACTAGATCAGTAGAATGAGACTGAGTGAGGAAGATCGGTTATTCATATGGCCGGCCCGTAAGCAAGCAGAAACTATTATCAGAGACATCCATTAGAGAGAGAGAGAGATACCTGGAGAAACAGATACATGTGAAAGTTTCAAGACGAAGAAGTTCGGTGATTAATTTTCGGAGAAAATTTTCAGGTCTTTTCTCTGGTCTTTGTTATATATATTTTACTTGGTGTTATCTCATTATTCGTCTTTAGTTTCCCATTCAATTCCTGTAATTTGTTTCCTTTACGTAGCTAAGTTACATAGCAGAAAGCCGGGCAGACTCTTCAGAATTTGGAAGATTTAACACTCTTAAGTATAGTTATATAATACAGCTGGAAAAAAAGTAGTTTTGAACTTAATATTTTCTATTTTTCATTTCTTTCCTCTAGCTTGAGTGAACCATTCTGAACATTTATATACATGTACAGAGTCTTAGAAAATAATACACACACACACATCGAATCATTCATCCTTTCATATCAAACTTATGAGATGTTGTTTATAACTTGTGATTATTTGCCAGCTTGGTTTCAAATTAACCACTCTGAGAAATCTGATCCGATTGCGAAGATGAAAGATTTAATTTAGTTATGAAAGTTGATTATATTTTTATTGTGATCATTAGTTGTCTGTTTACATCCAGGAGTGTGAAGTTGTCGAAGAGTGAATCACTGAGGAATAAGGAAATCCTGTCAGGCAATATTTCAGGCTAAGATGAATGGGTCAGGAAGTTCCTCTGAAGATAGGCATCAAAACGGATACCAGGTAGCTATTGATATCAAAGACGGTTGTTGTATTTATAAGGTTCCTGTGAAACTTAGGAACATAAATAATGATGCTTACACTCCTCACGTTGTTTCAATTGGTCCTTATCACCATGACCAAGAAAAATGGGATGACAAGCAAAGCAAAAAAGAATGGAAATGGGATGACATGCAAAAGCGAAAGAAGATATATCAGGAAGAGTTTCTTAAGAATAATAGCGAGAAAGATAAAATCAAGGACTTTGTCAAAGAAGAGGAGCAACGTATCCGCGATTGTTATGAAGCAAAATTTGATTTCGGTTCAGATGAGTTCATAGAGATGGTTCTGGTTGATGCTGTCTTCATCATTGAACTCTTCTTGAGGTATCACCGTGATAAAGATGATACAAGAGATTTTTTACTAAGTAAACCGTGGCTATCAAATGCCATAAAACTGGACTTGCAATTACTTGAAAATCAGCTTCCATTCTTTGTCCTGGAGAAGTTATACATGTTAGCCTATGGCAGCTCCACTGGAGAATCCTTCCTTACTCTTTCTTGCAAGTTTTTCGGGTATAAGGAGCCAGATGAAGAAGTGAAGAAAATTAAACATTTTGTCGACTTGAGAAGACATACTATGTTGGTCGGAGTCGAAATCGATCCAGAGTTACCAAAGTCTCCAGGCGGAAAAATTGAAGATTTACCAAGTGCAGTGAAGCTGCATGAGTCCGGGGTGAAGTTTAAGTCGGTCAAAAACAAAGATGCAGTGAAGCCTGATGAGTCGAGGAGGAAGTGTAAGCCAGACAAAGAAAAAAGTTTACTTAAGATAGAATTTGGAAAGAGAGAGGACTCATGTATTCCGAGGCTTAGGGCAGATGTGCTAAAGATTCCACACCTTAAAATTGGAGATGGTACGGAATGTTTGTTTCGAAACTTGATGGCCTTGGAGCAGTGCCATTATCCATTTGAAACTCATATTTGCAACTATATTGATCTAATGGATGCTCTGATCAACACGAGCAAAGATGTGGATTTGCTTGTTGACAATGGAATCATCTCCAATTGTGTGGGCGACCACGATTCAATTAAAGAGATGTTTAACAGACTCTGCCTTGAGGTTACGCCAAGTACTTCCTGTTACGACCACATTTGCGACGGGCTGAAAAAGCACCACGGCAAATGGTGGAATCGCACCAAGGCAACGTTGATAAGTGTGTACTTTGAAAATCTTTGGAGAGGCACTGGAACTGTTGCTGCAACCATACTCGTGCTGCTCACTCTGTTACAAACCATCCAAAGATTCTATCCGGAACTGTTTACGCGTCCAAAATAATTGAAGTTTTGTGTGTTTCAAGTACTTGTATTATTAGCCAATCCCTTTCACTACTACTAAGCTTGTACCATAACACTCTGCACAGAATCAGACTTTGTTTACGCGCTTTACCACACACATATAACAATGTTTCTCTTCCATGCTGATAGTATGTTACAACATTTGCAATACATTATCTTACCTAATAAATCATGCTGTTCATATACATTTAAGAATGTGTATTCTGAGGCCTTAAACATCGCTTACCAATAAGTTTATTGTATTCATCAGTTGTAACACGTCCAATTACACCTCAATTGATTAAAAAAAAAAAAAAAAATATTGGGTTGATATCCTGGAACCTGTATTAGGGAGCAAAAGAACAAAAACAAGAACAAGAACAAGAACACAAATAAGGTTTGTTAGACTGAGAGTAACTAGCCAGTGAAGAAAGCTACGGGCGGCCTAAACAAAATATCAAAGCCCAAAAAAGGAACAGCGCCCATATACTCGGAGTCAAGAGCAAGGCGAAAATTAAAGAGGGGCAATCAGTCAAAATTGCGAGTAGGCAATGGAAACGGAGGTGGAGGAGAGTGGTGGTGGGAATGGAGTTAAGGGAATCCGCACTCACTGGTGGTGGGCCCTAGCAAGCACAGCCCAATTAGGATGGGGTATATCATCTTTCAGAAAAGGTACGCGCGGCATTCTCGTCTCCTGCCCTAAAGCGTTCGGTGTCGCCGCCTTGTTGTCGGTTCCGCCGCCCGCCTCCATCGCTTTTCTTCGGGCCTCTGGCATTCACAAGGTGTCAAACAATTCTCTGTACATGATTTGTTGGTGTACAAATTACGGAGTATTAAATATTTATTATTTATTTTGAACAAAAAATAAATCCCAGTGGAGACCTAATGGAAGTGGGTGCAAATTAAGAACGGACTTGGTGTCGCCGAGAACAAGTGCCCAGTAAGTTGAATCATTTATTTTTCAGTTGAAATTATAATATATGTTTCCTATTAGAAATTGATAACTATTTACTCTGGTTAGGAAGACAGATGATCTGTGAGAAGCGAAGAGACTGGAGTTTGTAGCAGTTGGCATAATTTTGATAGTTGATGCTCTTTAATGAACACAATCTGTTGTTTAATTCAGTGGTTTGTTATAATAAATCTTAGTAATTTTGGTGATTATGAAGTACTATGTATTTTTCTTTAACATATATAGTTAGTAGTATGCATCTATTGAGTACAGGCGATTGTGTTATGGAAAATGTACACTCACCGAAAAAGGGTACTGAAATTATGCACTAATCGAAAGCATGCACTAATAGTTTAGACACCATTATGACCGAATAATTATAAATTTTGTTTTTTAAAAAAAAAGATGATACCAAGTCTGTCCGATGTATAAATTTAATATACTTTTTTGATAACCGTAACATTGCTTTGTGATATTGTTATGAACTTCTATTCAGTATAAACCTATTAACCCTGTTTAAACACTCCACTTAACGATGTGAGACTTCATAACAAAAGCAACTTGTTTCTGATTTTATTTTCCATTAAGGTAAAATTTTGGATCGAGAAACATTCATGAAGGAAAATGTAAAACCAACTGCTGTTTTATAGCAATATGCTTAATTAAAAGTAAAGAATTACAGACGTTTTTCTAGCAAATCTATGGAAAAAAAAATAGAATTTTCCAGCGTCCTTGGAACTCCCTTAAACAGTTCTACGCAGACATTCTGGGCTACACTCACGACCATGTCAAGTTGGTACACACATAACCTTAATGCCAACGAAGCCCTTCATATAATCTTTTAGGCAGGCGCTGATGCTGGTGCTGGCATGTAAGACTCCAGTCAATTGTGTTAGAAGTGAAATGATCTCAACAATCAAGTATGTAAATTTCCACTGCTTGTCCTCTTGATCTTTGAACATCTCAGCAAAACCTTACCGGCTCCGTGAGGTCCACGGATGTAGAAATTAACCTACACCCAATCAATCCATGCATAAAACGAAATAGAGCACCTTTAGATTAAGTCAAAATTCCAGAGTAATATGCTGTCCACAACTCATGAAGAAAATATGTTTTTTGTTTCAACCTCATTAAAGGATCGGGAAAAATTAAGCTCAGATAATTCATGTGGGAATCCACACGTCAGTATATTTTGTAAATAGTTGAGTGGCCGTATGACAGGAGTATTGATAAATTATATGGATAATACATCAGTTCATTAACATCCAGCATTATTTGCATCAATTTCGACTCAGTCCGAGCTGCACATAATAACATGGTAATCACGTCTGACAAAGGAAAACGGTGCAAATATAACACTAACTTAAAATATTTGACCATTTACCTCAACATGCTCTATGCCAAATTCATCAGTATATACCCTGTTGGAATACGTTGACGGGCTGCACGATTTCTACTTTCCTGACCATAGCCAGTAATAGGCGATCCAATCCTCACTCGTACCTGATATAAAGCAATTTCAATCCAGGTGAATCCAAAGCACAATCATATGAGTTAAATTAATAACTTGAAACTTCGTCAGAATGCGATAATAGTTTGTATAATGTTTAAACAGTACAACATCATATGAACCATCACAACTATTGCATAAACTAAGAGGCATTTGATTTTTCATATTACTGGTAAAGTGCTAGAAGAGAAAGTGAACATATAAGTGTATTCATCATTATTTATAAATATATCTAAAATTTATAATAGAACAGAGGCTACGGTCATGGTCTAGTATCGTACTTTATACCTGCAATTCTGCCAACTCAACAATGTATTCACCTATTTATAAATGTCTAGCAACTAAATTATCTCTCCTCCTCAGACCAGCCCAATGGCAGCAATAGTACTTACCACTTCTAAAAAATTCAAGGTACAAGATAAAAAACACGATGAATTTGGCAAACCTGACCGTCGTCTTGAATTCTTTTCAGAGCTTGTTAAAATTTTATACCTAAAACAAAAAATGGTGCCAAATCAGCATGGAGGTGACAAGAATACACAATTCTTTACCGAAAAACACAATTCACAAGGATCTCTTATCTTTTGGTTCAAATATGAGTTCCTTAAACACCATATGCAGCAGCAGCAGCAACCCAAGCCCTGCAGAATATATATACTGTAGGAGGCCCCCTCGGTAAATGTTACGGCTTCTCTGGGATATTGTATGTAGGAGCATCAAAAGGATCCTCAACAGTAGAGATGTCTTTTTTGGGCTGTAAGGGCATTAGAGGACAAGTCAACAGAATTAGAGGAACCTGATGTCAACATATAATCGAAAGGAAAAATATGGTGGAACACTTTATCTCCAATGTTTGAGTGTTGATTTTTCACAAAAAAGAGAAATTATGACTCTTGTCAACAAAAGTGTGTCACATAACAAATCACCAGAAAAGAGTTAAAAATCCAGTAGTTTCTCATTCATTCATTAACAGTAAAGTTCGAACCAAGAACAGTTATCAAGTCGGAGACTATTTGAGAAAAAAAAAAAAAAAAAAAAAAAAAAAGCTATGCAAAATTGCTTAACAAGTGAACGATGAAATAAATAGGCTGAACACAAACAAATAGGGAAACAACTTCAATAAAAAAAATACCTCAGATGATGTTTCTGCCGTTGCTTTGAAGCTTTTGACGCAAAGGACCTAGCAGAACAATGAGTTCTGGTATTTGCTACATGTTCTCGATTAGTTTATAGGAGAGCGAAAATTCACCATGTATCCTCCAGTACATTGCCCTCTAACCAGAATAGAGATTGCCAAACAAGTCATCAATTATAGACCAGAAAAGGAACTGGCTCCCAATGGAGTCATACGCCCATTAAAAAGGAGACCAGAATGCAGCCCAAATATTTTAGAACAAACATATACAAAAGGAAACATAACAATGCCAGCACCCCGGCGAAGGTGTTCTGACATGAATCTAAGCGAACTCACAAATCTATCACAACATTTTCTTGTACAAAACCTGCATAATCATCACAATAATGTAAACCAAAATAGAAAATAAAAGAATATCAGAGTAGTCGTCACTAACCGTTAGCTCCGAATACATCCTGCAGAATAAAACAAAGGAATTACTCAGCAGCCACATACTGAAGAAAAATATAAGTAATGGAAAACAATACATTGATGAAATAATCAGAATAGGCCAACATGTAAAATTGCACGATCACCAAGAAAGTAACATAAAGTGATATACTAAAAACAAAGGCTAAAACAAATAATAGTTCATTAGATTGATTATGTGGTCTCCAATAATCTCATCTTCTATGAAAATATAAAGTATAGAACAAAAAAGAAATGCTCTAAGCTGTAACACTGACAAAAGACCCCAAATATCTAGCAATTACAAATAATTTTAAACAAAAAATAGGAGAAACCTTAATAACAAAAAATAATAGCACGGAGTAAAAAAAAAGAAAAATTATCGTTACCCTTTTTGTCAAATATTCCACTGTGGATTTCTCATTGGATGATGATGAAAAACGAGCCAAGGCCATGTTTTCCGAAGTGATGATATTGCCGATCTTCTAAAATTGTACATCTCTACTGAACTCAAATGGTTCTTCGATGGCATAAACCAAAATTTTCCCAGTGTTTATCATAAAGTCGAAATAACACAATAAGACCTGATAGTGAATATGACAAATTTCAAAACCCACGAATAATAGGAGTATAGAGAGGGAGAAAGGACTGCGTGGGTAAACGGTATAGAGAGAAAACTCGAAGTAGCGGTTGGGGTTATGCAGACACGTGCCATTAGAAACACACGTACGGCAGATTACTGGATGGGCTCAATCAATAAACCCAATCTTACGGGCCCGTTTTGATTGGGTTTTGATGTTCTCATACGCACTTGTGCAAGAGCAGTCCAAAACAAAAGGGACCTTATTTGTCTTTAAATCAGTCTTTTTTTTTTTTTTACTAATTCAAAATTAAAGTGCCTAAAAATAATGAATTATTTGTTATTTTGTTCTTATTCGACTGAATTCAGAACTGTATTTGCAGAAAGGCCACATTACAAACTGATAT